CTCCCAGGTTCACGCCATTCTCCTTCCTCAGCCTCCCTAGTAGCTGGGACTACAGGCGCCTGCCACCACACTGGGCTAATTTTTTGTATTTTCAGTAGAGTTGGGGTTTCACCATGTTAGCCAGGATGGTCTCAATCTCCTGACCTCGTGATCTGCCCACATCGGCTTCCCAAAGTGCTGGGATTACAGGTGTGAGCCACTGTGCCCGGCCAAAACAGATTTCTTATAATCCATATCTTCACTCTCTCTCCTCCCAGCCTCTTTTGAACCCACTCCAATCAGACTTTCATTGCCATCACACCACAAAAATTCTCATGAATATGATCTCCCATAGTCAATTCTCAATTCTTTATTATTTGACTACTAACAACATTTGTTTGTCTTGCTTTTTTGTTTCCAAAGGCTCTCCCTCAGAAGAATATTAGCAGCATTTGACACAGTTAATCACTCCTTCCTCCACTGAACACTTTCTTCACTTGGCTACCAAGACACCACACTTACCTGGTTTATGCCCACCCTTTTTCAGTCTATTAAATAATTTTCTCTTTTCTTCCTCATGTCCCGATTCCAAACACAGATGTATCCCAAAACACAGTTCTTATTCCTCTTCGTTCTGTCTCCACTCATGCAAAGGATGACTTTACGTGTTCCATGGCCTCGAAGCCTATCCATGGGTTGATGACTCCCAAATCTCTCTTTTGACACCAGAGTTGTATGTCCAATTGCCTATTGGACAACACTACTTTGACATCTCATTGGCATTTCAAACTTAACATGGCAAAAGCCTTCCATTTTCTGCTTGCTCTTCCTAAAGTTTTTCTAGTCCCATTCAGTTGCAAATCCATCCTTCTAGCTGCTAAAGCTTCAAGCTTTGGAGTCACTCTTGACTTCTTTCTTTATCTCATACACTATATCTTATCCATCAGCAAATTTTTTCAGCTATACCTTAAATATATAAGCAGAAGTCCAGCCACTTCACTCTACCAACACTGCTACCATCACTTTTCATTTGAATTATTACAACGGCCTCTTATTGCCGTCATCATCAAACTGGGTTCAGTGGCTCATGCCTATAGTCCCAGTAACTTGGGAAGCTAAGAAGGGAGGATCACTTGATGCCAGGAGTTAGAGGCTGCAGTGAGCTAGGATCATGCCACTGCACTTCAGCCTAGGGAACAGGGTAAGACTTCAACTAAAAAAAAATTAGCATAAAAATAATAGTCACTATTCATGTTGGAAACAGATGGTATACTGCCTTAGTCTGGGCTGCTATAACAAAATACCATAAACTGGCAGCTTATAAACAACAGAAATTTGTTTCTCAGCGTTCTGGAAGGCTGGGAATTTTAAGAGTAAGGTCCTGACTGATTTGGTGTCTGATGAGGGCCCATGTCTTCATAGACAGAAATCTTTTCACTCTTAAGTCCAAGACCAGGGCAGAATGTGTGTCCGGTAAGGGTCCCCTTTCTGTTTCACAGACAGTTCCTTCTCACTGTGTTCTCACAGGGTGGAAGGGACGAGAGTCTCTCTCGTGCCTCTTTTATGAAGGTGCTAATCTGATTCACAAGGAGTCTACCATTATGATCTAATCATTTCCCAAAGGCCCCATCTCCTTATACCATCACGATGGTTATTAGGTTTCAACATATTAATTTGGGGGAAGACAAACATTCAGACCACAGCCAAATGGAAAGTTTAATAAGAGGACTGTTTACAAAGATGTGGACAGGATGAAGGGAAACTGGCATAAAATGTTCAAGTGCCCTGTGCCTAGCAAGCAGGGGCCAGTAGTAAAGGCATGACTACCCTTAAATCTGAAGGAGTGAGAGGCAGGAGTAATGACCAGAACACGTGCACACAACAGGAGCAGTATTCTTCAGCAGACCAATTCAGTCAGCCTACAGCAATCACCAGAAAGTGAGAGGTAGAAATAAAAACCATGAATTCACTTTCCTCCTGCCTTCTGATCTCCTGATCACAGACCTAAATGAATCCTAAGGCAGAAAACAAGAGAGCTGCTCATGGATACAGCTCATTAAGGTCACCCTCCTAACCTTTCTGCTCCTCTGGAGCACAGAGCAGGAAAAAAACGTAGAGAGAGGATCTGGGGAAAAGCAAAATGCATCCAGCAATATAGCAATATAGTGAAGTAAATGTTACTTTCACAGGGTGAAATGAAACAATCTGTGTAAAGCATTTAGTACAATGTCTGGCACATAGCTTTTAGCTGGTGGGGCAACCCCCTTATTTGCCTGGCATTATAGTTCCAAATGTGGACTTTTGCGGTGGTAATTTCCAAACTTTAGGTGATGACCAATTAGTGGGTTGTGAGTTTAGTAGGTTTTCTAGCACTTATTTTTTTAAGAAACAGAAAAGACCAGTATGCATTTCATGAAGTAAGGATAAGTATTATCTAATATATATCTGTGTGCGCAAGTATGTATTTGCTCCTTGGGTCACAGTGTAATATATATTTCTTACTAAGGATGACAGCCAAAAAATATTTGAAAGCCACAGTGCAAGAACACTGTTAGCTACTGCTCTCAACTCTCACTTATTTTTTCCCAAGGAGAAGTGACTTACCTGATTTAAAAATTTGGGATGAGAAACTAAGAAGATGTGCTTGAGTCCTTTCTCATTCTTTTGTCCCTACCCCCTCTTTTGTCTTTTATTACTTTCTATAGTAAACTAAATAATGTGCCCCAAAGATATCAGGTCCTAATCCTTGGAACCTGTGAATGTTACCTTATATGGCAAAGTCTTGGAAACTATGATCAAATAAAGGATCTTGAGAAGGGGAGATTATCCTGGATTATCTGGGTGGCTGGTAAATGCAATTACATATATCCTTTAAGAGGAAACCAGAAGGAGATTTTACAAACAGAAGAGAAGGACAATGTGAAGATGGAGAAGTCGGAGCAGAGTGAGATTTCAAGATGCTGGCTTACAAGACTGCAGTGATTCAGTCACAAGTCAAGGAATGCTGGTAGTCATCAGAAGCTGGAAGAAATGAGGAATGATTATCTATTCATCAGTCAATGGACATTTAAAAAGATTACTTTTCAAGGCTATTTCCAGGATCTTGGCAGGTAGGTAAGAGGCAACCAGACTTAGATTCATGAATGCGGTGTCACGAGAATGAGGAAGGCTTCTACACTCCAATTTGTACTCTGGTTTCCCTCATAATAATAACAGCCCCACACTGAGTGCACGAGAATGAGGAAGGCTTCTACACTCCAATTTGTACTCTGGTTTCCCTCATAATAATAACAGCCCCACACCGAGTGACAACTATGTGCAGAACACAATATGTGCATAATCTCTACATTCACAAAAACTCAGCAAGGTAGTTATCATTACCTTCATTTTACAAATGAGGAAGAAACTCAATCAGAAATAACTTGTCCAAGTCACAGTATTAGTAAGTGACAGAGCCAGGTTACCTCCAGTTTGATCTGCCACCAAAAACAGAGCTATCTCCAGCTCAACAAAGTGTCTTGCTGTGTTGCCACTCCCAATTTCCTGAGTCTGGGCTTTTGTAAAGTCTCAAAGCTAATTAGATTCTATTGCAAATCTGTTCCTCCAGAAAACTGCATTACATAGTTTGTACATACCAAAAATATGCATAATAAATTTTTCCAGATAGCATTCTAGTTTGTTGATGCCAATTTGGTCCCAAGGTCTTATGCCTCACTTGATTATTTATTTTGTAATTGCTGCATAAAAACTAGATAAAAGAGAGGCAAAAGAGGAAGTTATGAACTTAATGCTAGTGTCTTAGTGCTGGATGTCACCTTAAATCATGTATTGACAATAAATTACGTCACAAAAACCTTAGAGCTAGAAGACCTCTTGGATTATCAAATGCAAACTGTTTTTGCAGATGAGGAAAACAAAGCCAAAAATTTTGCATATTTGTTTAATAAGTAACCAAGTCATCAAAGCAGAATTGCATTGCAATGTAAACTGATACTTAATAATCTGTAAATTCTAAGAGGGAAGTAACTCCAAACTTATTTTGATCATGTAAACATTGCATTGTAAAATTCCATTATTGTTTCCATTATTTTTCTCTTCTCAAGCATTTATGTAGGGACGTATGAAACTGATGTCCACGTAAGGGCAAAATCCAGCCCTACTTTTTATTTTGGCTGAGGAGGAAAACTTTCAAATAGCCCTTTTCAGTTGTAGGATCTTGACATTCCATGTTCAGAATATGAACACTTTAATCCCATTCTACAACACGAAAACCCAAACATTCACAAAGTCTTGTCAAATCACATCCTTAAATGAAGTTCTTTTAAATTAAAAAATGCTACCGAGCAACCCCTGAAACACAGTGTGGTTGGTTTCATTTGTTGTTCTGGGCATCTCGTTTACTACACTGGGTAACAACGTTATTTGTTTGGGTTCGTGGTGGAAATCTGTCACAGCATGTTTAACTATATTCACCACCCTTGACAATTATTAACATAAAATAAAGGCAAAACGAGGTGCTAAGATGGGGGGGTGGGGAATCGTTCTGAGTAAAGCTGCCCATGCCCTTTCCTGCAAGAATTTCCAAATAACCCACCGCCCAGGAGCAAAGGACAGAAAACACAGAGAAGCCCCACCTCTACACCTAGAAAGGAAAAGATCCGCCCACCCTTCAACCAACCCGAAGTCGCTTTCGCCGCTCTGTCCACTGCTTGAGCGACTTTCCTTCTCCTCCGCGTCCCCTTTTACGACAGTTTTCCGGCCTAGTTTGCGGCTGCTCCTGCCGTGTTGCGTAGGGCGCCTGTGCTTGAGCGGTTTGTGCTTGAGGTTGGTGGTTGCGTCGCTCTCTGGTAAAGGCGTGCAGGTGTTGGCCGCGCTCTCTGAGCTGGGATGAGCCGTGCTCCCGGTGGAAGCAAGGGAGCGCAGACGGAGCCATGGTGAGTGCGGCCTTCCGGTCTCCTTAGCAACCTCCGGCCCAGGCCTCAGCCTCAGCTCCCGGCCTCGGAGGTGTGGAGTTGAAGTTGTGCTCCTTAGTACGACTCTGGGCGGGAGGTTTCGGTTTTCGGGGCGTCACACTCACCAGGACACAGCCCTGTTGGCTCTCTCCTCTTGGGTGTTTGTGTTTTTACATCGTCTTTCTGCACGGTTCTCCAGCTTCTTGTCCGCACGGGCTCTGGGCGCTAAGGCGTTGCTTGCCTGGAACTCCTGTAAGGTCAGAAGTCTATCATGGACTCGCAGATTAGTGGAAACGTATTTGATTATAGGTGCCCTTGCCGTAACACATCTTCACAGCACTGGCTCCACTTTGCTATATCCTTCTCTTTGGCTTTTGCCGACAGATGTCGTCTCCATGCGGAAATTCCTGAACATATTTGGGCCTCTGTTGTTAGGAAACAACAGGGCAGTGCCAAAGGTATATTCTCCTAGTTTAGCCCACGTTTAGCCTCGAAAATGCGTTATCAGAATTTTACAGGAGCCGTCTGTGAACAGTTTTTCCTTCTGTAGCAGAAATCTTACTTCCACTAATTTTTTTTTTTTTTTTTTTTTTTTTTTTTTTTTTTTTTGAGACAGAGTCTTGCTCTGTTGCCCAGGCTGGAGTGCAGTGGCAAGATCTCGACTCACTACAAGCTCCGCCTCCCGGGTTCGCCGTTCTCCTGCCTCAGCCTCCCAAGTAACTGGGACTACAGGCGCCAACCGCCACGCCTGGCTAATTTTTTTGTGTGTTTTTAGTGAGACGGGGTTTCACAGTGTTAGGCAGGATGGTCTTGATCTCCCCACCTCGTGATCCGCCCGCCTCGACCTCCCAAAGTGCTGGGATTACAGGCGTGAGCCACCCGCCTGGCCTATTTCCACTACTTTTGATTGAACTTTAATGTAACCTAATTTGTCCGGGGATGAAAGAAGTTTTCAAACGGAGGGAATCATCTTTTTCCCTATTGTAGAGGTAAATAAGCAAGTCGAACTTGCCGTCTTTCCCATAGTAATGAATCCGGTAACTTTAATACATTCGGTATAACAGATGCAGTAGTTTAAGGATTGCTGGGCAGAATATTTCTGCCTTAAAAGTTGTTTCTCGGCCAGACATGGTGGCTTATGCCTGTAATCTTACCACTTTGGGAGGCCTAGGTGGGAGGATTGCTTGAGGCCAGGAGTTCAAGACCAGCCTAGGTAACATAGCAAGACTCCGCCTCTTAAAAAAAAAAAAGGAAAAAAAAATGTTGTTTCTCCTATTAAAATGCAGTTTGTAATGAGTTGGTGATGGGAGAATGGGCAAAATGAGAAAGGGTGGGAATTAGAGAAGTAAATATTTACTCTTCTCCCCCTTACCAGGCCAGTACAGTGGTAGCAGTTGGACTGACCATTGCTGCTGCAGGATTTGCAGGTTTGTTTATGGTTTGGGGGTGGAAGTGAAGTCGGGGAGATTGGAGATTTACTTATTCTATTGCTTTTGGTTTTAGGCCGTTATGTTTTGCAAGCCATGAAGCATATGGAGCCTCAAGTAAAACAAGTTTTTCAAAGCCTACCAAAATCTGTAAGACTTAATGAACACTTTTGCTAATTGTTTGCTGCTTGTATTTGAAACCTAGAGCCACACTTAAGGAAGGGTAAATTTCCAAATATCCATGAAGTTTTAAGTGATTGCTTTGGACCCATTCTCCTGCTTCCCACAAGGAGAATATAGAAGTTCTGAACTTTGTAATGGTGCTACCCTGAAACATCAGATGTTATATGTGACAGAGTTGGATGGGGTATTGATAATTCTAGTACCCCACTAGACCCAACTTTCTTGTGAAATAATCACTTTTTCACATACCATCACCTTCAGCATCATCTATACATATTCCTGTTTTCCTTTATCTGCTCTGCATCACACACACAGAGGTATATGAGATTCTAAAGTGATCCGATCTTACCATGTGGCCCTGGCACTCCCAAACGTCATACATAGATAGCACTCTAGTTAATTAGGCTATAGGGTTTGACTTGATGTTATGGTCATACCCTATGTGGTCACAGTTAAGAATAGATTTGATTGTGATCATCTGTTGAATATTTATGTTGTGATTAAGTGTAACAGAATAGAGTGATTGTAGGCTTTACTAATATGATTTCTGACATAGCAAGGCCAGAGGAGCTGATAGTGGTATTTTCTGTATATGTATCTTAAAGTCTTGTTTCAAATACCCTTGAACCTCTTGTCTCAAAAGACTTCCAGATCCTGTTCTTGAGCCACTTCTTAATACCTCAGGAATTGCACTTAAAAGTCCTCTGGAATGTCTTAGTTTTTCTACTGGCTCTGTGAATATTTCCAGACTTCTTCTTTAAAGCGACTTTGTTTATTGTATTAACCTTTCTTTACAAATGGCATTTCTTCTTCCAGGCCTTCAGTGGTGGCTATTATAGAGGTGGGTTTGAACCCAAAATGACAAAACGGGAAGCAGCATTAATACTAGGTGTAAGGTAAAATAATCTCTAATATTTTTAGCATTTTTCTACCACTCTAGAGCCATGAGGAAATATAAGACCTTCTCTCCTTTAATAGGAGAGGGTCATGGGGATTTTGTCCTAGGAAGATTGATATTACCAATTCTAATCAATGAAACTGTACTGTTCCTTCATGTTATTTTTAAGATGTAAACAGTCCTTCAAATTAGAAGGCACACTAGCACTTAAGCACTTTTTCTTTTTTCCTAAAGTGTTTGCTAAAACACAGGCACTTTTTCATTTATTGAGAGATAGACTCCTCAGCAGATTATCACAGTGTTCAGTGTTCTCTGTAACTGACATTTTTTTTGTGTGGTGAAATTCTGCCTTTGGCCAGGCACAGTAACTCATGTCTGTAATCCCAGCACTTTGGGAGGCCAAGGCCGGTGGATTACTTGAGGTCAGGTGTTCAAGACCAGCCTGGCAAACATGGTGAAACCCTGTCTCTACTGAAAATACAAAAATTAACCAGGCGTAGTGGCACACGCCTGTAATCCCAGCTACTTGGAAGTCTGAGGCAGGAGAATCGCTTGAACCTGCGAGGCAGAGGTTGCAGTGAGCCAAGATCAAGCCACTGCACTCCAGCCTAGGTGACAGAGTGAGACTGTCTCAAAAGAAAAAAAAAAAAATTCTGCCTTCTTGACTTTCAAATCCTTCAACATGCTTTTCTTATCAATAAAAGGACTGTTGTAATGAGTATTACAAGTTCAACACATTTTTGAGAGTGCCTTACTTTTCTAAGGAGCAGTTTAGTTCCCCAATTTAGGATACACATTCTAAACAGCTTTTCATATCGTTGTGTTAATTTACTAGTTTCACAATGTCTTTAATTGGCCTTTATGTACAATTGTTTGATGTGATACAGAAGTAGGTTGAAGTAAATACCTTTTCTTTTTTTTAATTAGCCCTACTGCCAATAAAGGGAAAATAAGAGATGCTCATCGACGAATTATGCTTTTAAATCATCCTGACAAAGGTAAGTAGTCATTAAATTCTTGTTGTAGATGTTGCTCGTGTGACTAGTTGTTATTAATGGGATTTTATCTCAAATTCCTGGCTATTAGAAGGGAAACACTTAAATCTGTGTGTAAGTCCTGTCTCCTAGGCTGGAGCCATATATTTTTGGTATCTTAAATTCTGAGGGAAAACTTTATTTACAGAGTGAGCAGATGTAAGTGCTACTATTACTATGTTTTGTGGGGTTTTTTGGCCTACATTTATTATAAATTAAGATGTTAAATTTCAGTAAAACTAAAACGTAATTTTTCCTTATCCATTTTAGATACCTTGAAACGGAGATTACCTAGATAGAAACTTAATGGGATTTATTTATTCGTTTCTGATACACTTCTATGCAGCCTTGGCTGTGTTGAAGGAAAGCAAGAATTTCTTTGAATACCAAAAATTAGACCACAGAATTCATATTCTAGTGTTTGTATCCTTTTACTTATACAGGAGAGGGCTTTCATTAATAAAGAGGGTTTTTCAGTTTAAACAGCGTTATAATTGTTTGATATCTGATTTCACAGTGTCTTTTATGAAATTCAGCTTGTATTATATGGAGGGCTTCTGATTCAGTAGGTCGGCAGTGGAGCCCCATAAATATGCATTTATACTAAGTTTCCTGTTATTTGTTGCTGGTCTAAGACCATACTTTGAGAATCACTCCTCCAGCAGATTTGTAGGAAAGCAGCTGTAGATTGACATTGTGAAGGGACAGTAGATAATAGAAAAAGAAAAACTGGACAGAAAAAGGATGTAAAGCAAACTGGTATCTTTCCAGTAAACAGCTCAGAAGCCTTTGAGAATATCATGGTATAATTGATGTTCATTTATGACCTGTAATCATGAATAGGCTAACACCAGTTCAAAGGCATATACGTATGTATCCAGTATATGTGATAGAAATCCTATTTCTATCAGTTTAAGCTTTCTAAAAAGGTGTCATTTTTGTAGAAATCTCTCCCACGTAAATTCATTTCTCATTGGTCACATATATTACCATGTATCTGGTCATCCAGTTGCGGTGTCAGGGTTAATTTTTAAAAATTAAAAACACTCTTTCTGCTAAATCTCCCTCAGATAAGCATTGGAGTCCTTGAAACAAGAGTAGCTTTTTACCAAGCAGAAATTGAGAATCCATATTGTAACTGTTCTTTTTTCTTTCTTCCTATAGGAGGATCTCCTTATATAGCAGCCAAAATCAATGAAGCTAAAGATTTACTAGAAGGTCAAGCTAAAAAATGAAGTAAATGTATGATGAATTTTAAGTTCATATTAGTTTATGTATATGAGTACTAAGTTTTTATAATAAAATGCCTCAGAGCTACAATTTTAAAAAATGATTTAGCACAAGCTAAATCTCAAAGCCTTGGTATATTTTTCTTGTTTAAATTTGGGGATTTAAAATCAGATTAGTTTAGAATATTTGCATATTAATTATGGGCAAGCACACACCATCTGAATAGAAATATTGTTCATTACTCATTTAGCAGATGATTTGGGACCTATGTCTACTTTTCAAAGCAAAGTGAAGATGACAGTCCTTGCTCTGAGGGAGCCCCCACTTTAATGGGAGACTGATAAACTGATAATTAGACTATGTGATAAATAGTATGATGGAAATTAGCTCAGGCTGTTTAAGTAGGGACTCTTACCTTATTCGGTGAAAAGGCTGTTGCAGGTATAGGCAACTGGCCTAGCAACTTGGATACTTGGAACCTTGTATTTAAAAGTGAATTTAACCACAACTTAGACCTAACAAATTGACCTAGGGGTGTGTGTGTATTGTATGTACATACAATTTTTATTTCATGCATTAAAAATAGTATAAATATTTCAGAGTACAGGTCTGATACAATCACAAGTTCATTGCAGCCTCAACCTCCTGGGTTCAAGCAGTCCTCCCGCCTCAGCATCCCAAAGTGCTAGATTACAGGCATGAGAAGTATTTACATTGTATTCAGCTAGCCCCTCAACAGTACTGACCATTTATAAATTATTCCTTCAGTTGGCTATTTCTTGACATAATCAAACTTCTGCAATTGTTATGATAAACACTGTTAGCAAAACTGAAAACAAATGTTCTCAATATCAACATGTTTAATTTGGACTATTTAGAATTTATATACTAATTTAAATGATGTTTAAAGGCAAATTACTTACTGTTCATCTAACATAAAATATATAAGGATCTTAACCAGAGGACCTGTATAAAACATCTGATATAAATTAGTATGTATTTCCCAACAGGAATATTTCTATGTGTAGCTCTAAGATGATAAATTTTACTACCTACCATCTAAACTTCCTTAAATCATCATAAGGTTCTTAATTATTGAAGGATACAAGGACTTTTGAGGTTAAAAAAAATAGTGGAGGTAATATTTATCTGCCTTATAAAGTAAAGGTGTATCTGCTCTTTGTGTTTTCTATCCTATACCCTTGTTTAAAATCTGATGGAGTCTGTTGTGATTTAGTGTATGATGAAACACTAGCTTCTAAGGCTTTTATGCAGGATAAATTATTTTATTTCCAGGGACAAGGAGACATGAAGGTACAGTTAGTTGGTTCTTGTTTGTGGTAATTCTGTTCTTTAAGGTGGCTGTGAACACTGAATTCGCCTGTAAGGAACAAGTTCCTAAGAGAAATACAGATTCTGTGACCCTTCGGTCACAATATTGTCTGCCAGTCAGTATATAACCTTGATCTACCTGTTTCTGCTTGAAAACATTCTTTAGTATTTCATTAACTTTGAATTAACAGCCAACAGCACTATAACTCATACTTGGCACATCACAGCCTTCTTTGCATTTAAGAACACTAGGTAGCATGCCTCACTACTACTCTTGGGAACCATCTTAAAACAGCAAAATCACCAACAAAAAGCACAAACATGAAGCTTGGCACTAAATAGACCACAAAAAGGATACTTGTTTATGTTGTGAAAGCTTAAACAAGTAGAGCATTGCCTTGTGCACATAAAGTGGTTTAAACTTTTTGTCACTCTGCAAATACTCACAGATGACCAGAAAAGGATGTTGATTTTGGAGTTACAAATAAATTTTAGTGAGTAGGAAAATTCACAAATAAGGAATTCCACTAATAATGAGGATCAACTGTATTTTGGTTTACTAACCTTTTATTTCAGTCCATTGGACAAATCAAAAAATGTTCCTCTGAACAAGATCTTTATGAAGAAATAGTTAAGACTTAAAAGCACATTTTTCAAAGACAGACAGTGATAATACGCTGACAGGCAATGAAGCATTAACTCTAAAAAGGGAAATTTAACTTAGTAGATATAAATACTTTTGGGTGTTCAGTGCAGACAGCATACCTGTTTTAAGACAGGTGTTAAAACAACGGAAACCACTTAAAAATAATACCAGGGAGCACAGCAGAGCACATTTTTTCTTGCATAGTAATCAGTTTTATTTTCTCAAGGCTTACCTTTTTTAAGTAGAAGAATCCATGTTTCATTGAAGGCTGTTAGGCAAACTGAACATTTAAATGTCATCCATGTGAGGGCTCTAAAGATCATGGTAAGTGATTGATACCAATACGATCCATAAAAAAAAACTTTAATCTTTTACTGGTATTTTCTTACAAAATACTTGGTCTGTAACATTTGAGTACTTACAATGTACTAGCACTGTGCTAAGTATTCTTCCTGTATCTCTCAGTAGACTGGTTATTATGATGTACATTGTACATGTGAGGAAATGGAAGTTTAGTAAAGTTAAGCACCCAAGGCGACATGCTGAGAATGGCTGATCTTTCTTACATCCCAAGTTCCATTCTCCTAACTTTTGTACTATGGCTTTACAATTCTGATAACCTAAGCATGTTTTCCTTGATGGTACTGAGATGTGAGTCTGGTACTTATCTCCACAGATCCAGTTTGGGGCCTTTGTCTTTATTCATTGGTGCTTCCAGATAAATTTTAAAGAAGGCGGCGTGATTAAACACACTTAGGGAATGGGAGGTACGTTGCAAGTTAAACTTCTGCAGAAGCCAGGTAAATCTGAGCTTTGGGGCTTCAGCTTTCTCTGTAAAAGGGAAGGATACATGACCAACTTGAAATTGTGAGGATTCCTCCACGTTTTATGGCTTGGGAAACAAAAGTCCAGAGCAAGTGGTCGTTTTCTCAGGTCCCACAGCTAGTGAAACTAGAATTAGGTCCTGGCTGTCTTCTCCAATTTGCTATGTTCATATTAGTCCTTATTAGAAGTTTGTGGGGAATTCCTATCTATAGCCTTCATATTAGACCTCAAATTCAGAGATTTCTGTGAGTCACTTAGCCTCTTCCCTTTTGGCTTTACTGGCCATCTGGGTTGACATTATTAGAAATGAGTCCTAAGGTGCTGTATACTGCTTTGTTGGTAAGAAGTGAGCTATAATGGGTTGTCCTGGAAGTTAACTCTTTCTCCAACTTTAGTTTTAAGCAAGTTATCCTGCCCTGCCATCAACTGTTTTCCAAATGATGAGTACTTATGGAAACATTTAAATAGAATACCAATGAGAACTGAGAAAAATCAGGGAACTAGCTTATTGCCACACTGAAAGCTGTGTAAATTCAGTATACTGAATATATATGGGCTCCCATAAAGAAAACTTAGTATCAGAAATGTCTAAAAATAAAATTTCACTCAGGCATAATGCTTCATTTTTAAACAGGTTAGTGGTGTTTTAGGTTGGAAAGAGAAGTTCTCTTTCAATCATGAGAAATTGTATAAGGTTGACAGTGACCTTAAAAAAAAGTTGTTTTGCAGTTCAGAAGCTTGTAGTAGGTTCACATTCTGAGTGCACATGAGCCTCCAAACAGGTTAAATCTGAGGAAAATTTAGAACATGGATCAACAATGTCAAAGAACAGACTAAGCTAAAAAGAAAAAAAAAAAACCTGTAAATTTTATGTAAACAAAGTAAAAAAAAATTACTATGTAGAATGCTCTCCTAGGTTTTTGGTTATGTAAAGTATCCTGGAATGAGTAACCTTGAGTACCAGTTAACTTGAATGACCTAAGCTCTGGTTTTAGTTTTTGGACTGCTGTACAGTGTGCTGTTTTTCAGCTTAGAGCCAACTACTGCCTTAGTAACAAGATATATATAGGAAGAGCTTCTATCCTGTGTCACCTATTATTCCTGACCCAATAATAGAACAGTCCAATGATATGGGATAATCTGTTGTGGTTAACATTTGCTGCCACCTTACTGCAGTTTCAGTTAATGAAATTTCAAATGTATGTTTACATTTTTCTTCACAACCTGAAGACAGCCAAGTTAGCTGACAAAGGAAGTCTAAAGAGGTTGAAATTTAAGCAACCAGGCAACAATTAAGTAAAAATTGTTTATCTAGAAAAACTATTGGAAAATATTTTTAATGAAAATGTTCTCTAAAACTAATAAATTAGTACGTACATTTTACAGTTAATCCAATTAATTAAGAGGGTACAAAGAGGTAAAAACTTTCCAAAAATAAAAAGAACATACCAATCACTGAAATACAAAGAAATTCAAGAAGCTAATAAGTAGCATACTTAATAGTGGGGCTGTAAGACTTGTGAAAAATTACTTTGTCCTTGTTTGGAATATCTTATAGATTGCATTCAGCATAGTTGAAAATGTCTGGGATGGATACATATGTAAAACAAACACCACTTAAGTTTGGCATACTCCTTATGAGAATACTTGGGCATTTGGTTAGGTGTTGCCCAGGGTCTGACATGTGATTAGACTCAAATTACCATTGGAAGGGCCTTAAAGATACCAACTCATCCAGCCCTCTCTGGTTGCATAAAACTGAAACCATAGAGGAAAAGTTTATAGAGCTAAAATAGTGGCTTCTAATTCTGTACTGTCACCTAAAGCATCTCTTTGAATTATCAAAAGAAGAAACAAGCAAATGGACTGGGAAATCATCTTACAAAACTAGAGTATAGTTTTTCCAGGGGAATTGTGTACCTTACCTCAGTACTGGAAATACTAGTACAGAAGATACAGATGAATCTGAAGTGATATACTGATAAACTTTTTTTAAATTTGTAATTAGATTTAAGAAATTGTTAATAGTTGATCATTTTTGACCCTTACAAAAGTGGTGATTTCCTACTGTTCAATGTAATGGGCTTAAGTCAGTTTTAAGTTAACACCACTTGCTAACAGTCTGACTTTAAGCAGATTGCAGTTCCTGCTTTATTGCAAAAGCTCCTGAAATAAAACCCCAAATACTATCAAAGATCAACATGGGTTATAAGCAACTGTAGTCCATTCAAGTACACGTTCTAATAAAGAACTGAAATTTTTAAAAAAAGGGGGGGCCTAGCAAATTCACTATAGCGAACACATATTCTTATGAAAAAGCATAAGGGATCCAAATCGTGTAGCAAAGACAGGAAGACTGAGACAATAACAGACATCCTTTTTGTTGGGATTTTTTTCCAAAACAGCAGATTCAGTTCAAATCCAAGTTCCTTGAAACCTTACAGAAGAAAATCCGGGTGTAATTTTCCTTTACTGCCATTCTTAATCACCAATCATCTGTCCCTGGACATAGCCTGTTTTCCATTTTTATCTGTCCTTAGGCAACAGCCTATGAGAACACTAGTTGGTTTGAACCTCAAAAACATAAATCTGTTTGCAGAGGATACAAATGGTGCTATTTCCCAATCCAAGATTTAGTTAACATACCAACTTTTATAAGACCCTCCTTAGTTTACAAAACACTAGACACAGCTAACAGCAGCTACAAAAATATGTGACTTAACACAACGGCAATGGAACCCAGCAGCATCTGAGGTAAGTTTCTATGAACTCACCAGTTTGATGTGCTGCTTCTAATTCCACATTAAAATACATGATTATTTCAAAACAAAGATTTGTGCATTCCTATTATACTTTTGCCAATTATGTCTGACGTGTTACCAGAGACACCATTTTGCAGAAGTTTTAGCCCCCTTTAAGGCTTAACAAAGATCGTGATGCCTAAACTAGGAATCGTAGGCCTCCCAAAGCTTCAGGAAAAGCAGGTCATTTTTGCTACCATATAATCTCAGCTGTTACTTCGTGATTCCGTTCAGGTATCGTATGAATTCATATATATATATGCTGAAACATTGTTGGAACTGCACAAGACCTTCCAGAATACCTTTTTTCC